ACAAACACACCACAGCATCTCCTGCTTCAGAAACACTCACACACCGTTAACCTGCTCAGTCACATCCGGCTGCCTTTCTGTAGATGGAAATAATTCATTATCAGGGAAATTTGTAATTAATGGCTGAAATAAATTACATTCTGCACTGCTTTTAGTTAGAGATCCGATGACTTATAAAGTAAAGATTACTAAACATTTTCTTTCTTTTTTACTTACAGAACAAATGTAATTAGGTTGCTTACGATGCAATAAACAAACTAATAAACACCACCACAGCGTTTTCTATGTCAGCATTGTGCCTGGCTTACCTTTGTTATGAATCTACTATCAACAACATTTAATTTGAATGAAAGCATAACGAAATGACATCACGCCGGGCAGCGAATGGAGAGATCGTTTTCAGACAAAAAGAAATGTGACCTATTTTTCTGAATGAACAGAAACGACAGACCTCGTAGTGCTGCGTGAATCTAAATTGAGTTACCAAAGGATGTCTCGGGCAGCAGGGATCTGTTTGATTTATAAACCTTCACTGATTGGTGCCAGAGGAGGGGACGGCGGTGCCCTCTGAGCACGGAGAGGTGAATGTTCCAGTGGTGGATGTCTCCATGGAGCCACTTAACTCTCAGAGTCAGCACCAGACAATCAGCTTCACACACACATGCACGCACACACATGCACGCACACACATGCACGCACACACACACATGCACGCACACACACACATGCGCGCGCACACACACACACACACACACACACACACACACACACACACACACACACACATACACGCATGTGCGCACGCATGCACACACACAGCAGTAACTCAGGAGGTAGAATGGGTTGTCCAGTAATCGGAAGGTCGCAGGTTCGATCGCAGTTACGGACAGAGATCTCTGCTGTTGTGTCCTTGGGCAAGACACTTAACCCACCTTGCCCACTGGTGGTGGTCAGAGTGACCGGTGGCGCCTGTGTTGTGCAGCCTCACCTCTGTCAGTGTGCCTCAGGGCAGCTGTGGCTACATTGTAGCTCATCACCATCAGTGTGTGAAAGGATGAATGATACATTGTAGTGTATCACTAGAGTCCCCTGACTCTGAAAGGCGCTATATTTTCCATTTACACACACTAAAATATAATTGCTAAAGGAAATATTACATTTGAAAAACCTGTTTTAAATAAAACTTAGAGTGAATAAAAATGATCTTGTAAAACATATTCTGTATCTTTTTTGTCATCTTTTTTATACTTAATTTATCATTTTTTTGTTTATATAAAGAGCCTCGTGATTTTTATCTTGAGAGGCGCTATTTAAAAGATTGTTTCTTTCTTTCTTTCTTTCTTTCTTTCTTTCTAAAAGAAAGTTTTGGTTTTAGAACTTAGACTCGACTTAGACAAAGTATGATTTTAATTCTTCAGATTGAAACCAAACTCATGCTTAACCATTTGGGAAATACCTTATAGGGAGAACATATTAATTGTTGTATATGGCTCTTTGGAAAGCCTCAGTTTGGAAAAACACAGAGTAAAGCTGACTAGTTTGATATGCTAATGGCTAGTCTGTGTGTGGCCAACAACAAAGATGATTACTGCATAAAACAACTGCACACGTTTTCATACGCATCTTCATTCATATTTTTGCTCCCTTTGTATGTTTTTATCTTATTTTATCGTATGCCCATCAAAATTGTTCTTTTAATAGTGCTGTTTGAATTGTTTATGCGTAAGTGAATGTGTGTGTGTGTGTGTGTGTGTGTGTGTGTGTGTGTGTGTGTTTGTGTGTGTGTGTGTGTGTGTGTGTGTGTGTGTGTGTGTGTGTGTGTGTGTGTGTGTGTGTGTGTGTGTGTGTGTGTGAGTGTGAGTGACTGGTTGTATTGTAAAGCACCTTGGGGGGTTGTAGAACCTAGAAGGCACCTTATAAATAGAGGCCATTTTACCATTTGTTGACACTGTAACCAGAAATGGAAAATGGCTTGTTTTGGTGTAGAGCATCAAAGGCGCTTCACAACACAATCACTCATTCACCCTTTCACACAATCACATTCACACCCAGGTGGTGATGAGCTACGATGTAGCCACAGCTGCACTGGGGCGCGCTGACAGAAGCGAGGCAGCTGAAAACTGGCGCCACCGGTCCCTCCAGCCACCACCAGCAGACAACTCCAGTTAAGTGTCTTGCTCAAGGACAAAGTGACTGCAACAGACTGAGTGGGACTCAGTCCCACAACCCGCCGGTTACGATATGGGCACTTAACACCTCTGCCACCGTCGCCTGTAACTGTTGAACCATGACACCAGTGCATGATGGGAAACAGGAAGAAGGATAGCTAAAGAGTAAATTGTAGGCTTGTTTAAGCAATGTCTTTTTAATGCCATGGACTTTTCTACCTCCCTTACATTATTGTGGTGTGGGAGCACCCTCGGTTTTGTTGTACCTTAGGGTATAATTACAATAAATGCATATTCATCTAATTGGTCACTAAAGTGGACAGGTACTCAAAATTGATATTTATTTATTTTTGCTATTAAGCACAGCTGTTGAAGACTTTATTGCACGTGAGCCCCTCCATTTGGACTTCAGTAAGTCAAGCCAACATATTTCATGTTCAGAATGCACGCTGTCCACTGAGGTGGACATGTAATAAACTGTGTGTAAATGAAATGTTACAAAAAATATGTAAATATGAAATTTGTTTCATTCACACATAAAGATTAATGAAAAAGATTGTTTAAAAAATCATGGTTGAAGATTTCATAATTCATGCATCAAAGGGTTACGTTACAACCGTAATAACCATGTAATACTAATTTGACAGCAGTGTACAGATTTATAAAAGAGCACTTGTATGAACTGCTGTGAAATTTTGAAGATGAGAGCTGTTTATGACCACAGACGTCGACTTTGTAGCTGGCAAGCTACAGTGACTAGCTTTTAGCCTGTCAGTCTGATCAGGGCTAAACTCTGTTTCTTCAAACTGAGGTCATTCAAAGAGCCATGGTCACCAGGTTGACTGCTCATACGTTCCCCAGTGGCCTATCCTTCTAATTAGTTTGTTTTATTTTCTTATAACGTGTGAATTTTAATCAGGCACAGGGGCAACAATGCTGTCACTTTCACTGTTTGCTGCAAAAAGTGACTAACTGTATACAGCAGCCACAGAACAGCTCAGGTTGGACAACATGCCACATATAAAGTATTCATGTCACCAATTGTGTGTACTAAATTTATCACAATTGATTGAATTTCACAATTTTTCAACTAAACCTGCAGCTGGCTGTTGTTAAAGCAAAGTCAGGAAAAACACATGCAACCAGTACCTGCATCAAGTACAGGTGGGAAACCAGACGTAGACCTGTACTAGACGTCCTGTTTCCTGCACACAAGATGTTCCCAACCGGTGTTTTTTTAGGGTTTTGAAGGGAGATATTAACACAGCATGGTGGTGCAGTGGTTAATGCTGTTGTTTCCCATCACGAACGTCCTGTGGTTGCGTAGGCCCGTGCACAGCTCACATCTAAGACAGACACTTTCCACCACATCCAGCTGGTCTACAAGAACCCGACCCCCCTCTTTGACCTCCAGCCGACCCCCCTCAGCCTGCAGACACAACACTTGACACGGCCTTTCTTACCTGTAGACACGTCTGAAGAACAGGTCCCACTCAAGAGCCGAGCAGTGATTGGACCATGATTGCAGTGGCCACTTGACTCAGACATGTCCACCGTGGACGAAACTTTGACAGAATTGCGGAAGCTCAAACGAGTGATTTTTAAATGCATATTAAAAACTGGGTGTAAAATGTGTCCAAATGTAGATAAACAATACAAGCTGTGCTGCGCAGGATGAGGGGCGGCTCTCTGGTTCGGGTTGTTGATGTAGTTAGTGGGCAACAGGCACAGATGTTTGCAAAGGGCTGTCATTTTGTATCCATCAGAGAACGGTGTGATGAAGCAGCACTGCCTCAGCAACATGAAAGCCCAAGTTGAACAACAACAGTCGCCTCTGCTTTGTTTTTCTGCCGCTAAATGCCAGAGACAAGAACAGAATTCACTGTGGTAACTGATCAGGTGCCAAGCACTGTCTCCCCCGTGTCCTGCTGCTGCACTGTGGACTTGGATGGCCTGGCATGGTCTGGCCTGGCCCTATTTCTGCAGCCCAGTCCCAACTATCTGAGACACCTCTAAATCACACACGCCTCCCGTCCGGCTGCTCGCCCCACAAATCTGACTAAAGCTGGAGGAAAGTTGACACGCTGACGTTGACCTGATCGTCATCTGCTCAATGAGAGAATAACTCAAAAATAAGCTGTTAGTAATGGTTTTATTATGCAGGGAACACGAGTAAGGCTTTAAAAATACCACAGCAATGAATCACTGGCCTCCCTATCTTAACAGGCAGACATGGGGAGTTTATTGTGAACAACAATAACTAGGCAGAGAGGGCTTTGCACATTTGTTAGGCCTTCTGTTTGGTTTTGATATGCACACAAAAGTAGGACTGCTGTGATTTACTTGATGAGACATCTGACTGTTGTATATTTAATCACCAGCAACACGTAAAGGCCCAAATCACACCGAGATGGGTTTTATTTGAATTCAGAGACAAAAAAATAAATAAAATCATTTAAATGGGGGTGAATTTAGAGGGTGTGATACTATCACTAAATGTAACCAGCTGTCTTATGTGGGCTATATGGTTCTATAGATAACCAGGCTCTGTGACTAAGCATCTACAGCGTTTTACTCCAGCTCACCGGGGAAAACGTCTCATCCCGAGCCGTCGAGGAGACCCGGGGCCTCGGTGAGTTTGCCTACGACCTAAAATATAGGTAATCGTACGGAAGCTGAAGTTGAATGCACACCGAGGCACGTACATGCATCACGGCAGGTGCACTTTTCTGCAGAGCAGCCTTTTGTGTTCACAAGCAAACGAGCCACGCATCGTTCAGACAGGAAATAAGGAGACATGACAGGATGGACCCGGTCGGCTCGGCTTCTTACCGTGGTGGCTTCAGTCATCGCTCCCCATCATTACGTTTTCATCCCGACCTCTGACGAACCGTTTATTCCTACCAGGCTGCCTCTCTCCCTCCCTCTCATGTCATGTTTCTCCGCTGCAGCAGAACGACGCCACGCCTCCTCCACAAGCGTCCTGACGTCAGGGCCGTAGGCACCTCCTGCGTTGAGCCGCCAGAGGGCGCTATTTGTGAGAAAGAAGCTCATGGAGAACAGACTAGAGGTGTTCAAACGAAATTATAAGATTGAATCGTTAAGATTAACTGTAAATGCAGTTTAAGTAACTTTTTTGTTCAAAGTTTCACCACAAGATGGCACTGTGATTTTGTGATTGCCCTAGTAAGTTTATTTAACATGTTTATTGAAAGTATTATTTTTCATGTTTTTCAATACATTTTGTAGCATTTACAGGTGCACAGAATTAATACTTTTGATATTTGAGTAATTTTGAATTGGTTTATTTTGATAAGGCGTGTTTAAGAGCGCTGTGACGTCACTTCCTGTATCTCGAAGCTTCGGAGATTTTATTGCTGCGCACGGACAAATGTGTGCCAGTTAAGAACATTTGAGAAGAAGGTAAAGTGTTTTCAAGTCTACCGGTTTGTCTACTAGCAGGCCAAAGTGGTATGTTTATTCTTTATTTACAAATTCTGTATGTTAGCCAACTTAAGGCAACTAACTTGTTAATTTGTACATGATTTATGCTTTTTCATTAGTTCTACGGTGTTCATGTGGTGTAAAGAGTAAGAAGACGCAAGACCGCATTAAACATCAGTAAAAGGAACGCTCGTGTCTCTCGTGTATGTGAACAAGCCGGCACAGTAGAACACTACACTGCCTCGGAGGAGACGGTTGGAAGCAAGCTATTAGCAAGGGATGCTACCAACGTGCTAAGGGAAGTATCACGTGTTTGGACAAACACATGAAACAAGCTAACAAGCAGAAGCTAAATAAGCAAGCACTCAAGTTTGTGTCTTGAAAGTAGCGCAAGCGCTTGTGGATTGTTGCACTGAATGTGGCTTCTCCATCAAAAGAAATAGCAGTTTGCATCAATTAAGATTAAAGGTACATGGCCAAAATTGAAATAAGTTCATAAAAGTGATATCAAAACAAAATGGCAGATGAAAGTAAGCCCACTGTAAGTTGTGCTGAGCTTAAAACACAAGATGATGAAAGGCAAGTGGATACAGAAGAACAGCCAAATGGAGAGGAAGCTCAACAGTCCTCAATATCTATTAATTCACAATCAGAAAACCCACGCAGAAGCCAGCGCACACGCACACTCACTGAAAAGGGAAAATCTTTGGAAGATGCAAAGTTACATGGTTTGACCAAGGATTTTCAGCGATTCTACAAGAAATGGAAATATCACATAAACTCTTTTAAGAGAATGGTGAAAAATGAAGATATTGATTTAATACCTGAAGCTGTGAGTGCCATAGACGCCATTATGACTGATATCTGCAACACATATGATGATATTAGAAGGATTGAAAGTCCTGATGTAGAAATACGGAGAAGATGTGATGTTTGTTGTGCTGTCAGTGAAGCTGCCAGAGCAAAGGCAAAGTGCCTCTTGGAGGAAAATGGGGATCCAGATAGTATTCCTTGGCCAGATTCTGAATCTGTGTTTGAAAGCAGTACATCCAGCATCAGCTCAAGGATCACATTTAAGTCAAAGTCCATCTCTGAAATGTCCAGGCAGTCATCTCTAGTTTCACTGCAACAAAGACAGGAAGCTGCAGCTGAAGTGGCAGCAACAGAAGAGGTAATTAAAATAATGAAAACACAACATCAATGTGAGGAAGAAATCAGAGAACTTGAAGTTGAGGATGCAAAGAAAAGAGCCCAATTTCTAACAGAGAGCACTACAATAAAGACAAAATTGGAAGAGAAAAGAAAAGAAGTGGAACTATTGAAAGAGCTGCAAAAGCACAATGCAGCACAAGCAAGATTAAAAGTGTACGCTGAAAGCATAAGAAATGAGGGTGAAGAACCGCCTACTAGTGTACATTTACAAGTCAAACAAGATAGCTCCCTTCTACCATCACGCTTTCTGAATGTTCACTCAAAGCCATTCATTCCTTCTCAAGTTAAAGATCCTGCAAATCAACGATTTGTCCAGAAAACAGAAATTCCAATTGCATGTGAAGCAGCCTCCATTGATCTTGTAAAGACACTTGCTGAAGCAATCACAGCCAATAGACTTCCAGTGCCTGAACCTGCAGTCTTCACAGGTGACCCGCTGCAGTATAATGACTGGAAGCTGTCTTTTCAAACATTGGTTGATCGCAAAAATCTGCCAACACAAGAAAAGCTTTTCTTCTTGAGAAAGTACGTTGGAGGTTCAGCTAAGAAGGCTATCGAAGGTCACTTTCTAGCTGGAACAGATACAGCATATTGTGCTGCTTGGGAAATGCTCGAAGACAGATTTGGAGATCCTTTTGTGATTGGCAAGTCTTATCGTGACAAGATTCAATCATGGCCTAAAATCACAGCCAAGGACTGTAAAGATTTACGTGAGTTTGCTGATTTCTTAACAAGTGTTGAATCAGCCATTCCATATGTCCAAGGTTTACAAGTTTTAAATGACTGTGTGGAAAATCAGAGAATAGCAGCAAAGTTACCTGATTGGTTAAGTGCACGTTGGAACAGGAAAGTTACAGAGTTCCAAGATGAACACAAAATGTTTCCTGACTTCAGTCATTTTGTTAAATTTTTAAATAAAGAAGCAAGAATTGCATGCAACCCGATTACCTCACTACAGGCAATAAAGCCAACTGAATTAGATAACAAGCATCCATACAAAGACAAATCAAGAAGAAGTGGTACCCTGAGTGCTAAAACTCTTAACACAAGCTCAAATGAAAAGACATTTGTTACATGTCTCTTTTGTAAGAAACCTGGTCACACACTACATAAATGTCGAAAGATGATGGAAATATCAGTTGAAGAAAGAGTTAAGTTTGTGAAGGCTGAAAACCTGTGCTTTGGTTGCCTCAAGTATGGTCATAACTCTAAGAACTGTAAGTCTAGAAGTGTGTGCGACAGATGTCAGAAACCTCACCCAAGTTGTCTACATCAAGACAGGGAAAAGGGGGATAAAGAGAAAAGAGCAAAGAATAATCAACAACCAACAAACCACAATCAGGAGACAGAAAAGGTGTCTGAAGCACAAGAGCAAGAATCTCAGCAAGTCACATCCAACAGAGTATTACAACAAAAATCAAAGGGTTGTACTTCCTCAGTTATCCCAGTTTATGTATCGACCGTGGATGAACCAGAGAAAGAAAGGCTTGTGTATGCTTTGCTCGACACTCAAAGTGATACAACTTTCATCCTGAAGAACACAGCTGAATCACTGAATACAAAATTTGAACCTGTCCAACTCAAGATTTCCACTATGACCTCCAAAACAAGGATTGTGTCAAGTCACAAGTTAAAGGACTTACAAGTAAGAGGAATGAACTCTGAAGTCAGAATCAAGCTGCCAACAACTTACACCAGAAGCTATATTCCTGCCAATAGGTCACACATTCCCACAAACACTACCGCAGAGAGTTGGCCCCATCTTTCACATCTATCAGAAGAAATGGCTCCTAAGCTCGACTGTAAGTCGGATTACTGATTGGATATAACTGTCCTCAAGCTTTACTCCCTCTGGAGGTGATTAGTGGCAAAAGAGACCAGCCATTTGCACAGAAATCCCTGCTTGGTTGGAGCATCATTGGTTATAGTAACTCTGAGAATGATTATGAAGATGAAATAGGAGTAAGTCATCATGTTATTGTTAAACAAGTCCTGCCAGCAGTAGAACTCACTCATAAGCTCAAAACTGAAGTCCACTTTGTAAGCAGAAACAAAGTCAAAGAAGTGATCAATCCAGCTGACATAATTAAAGTGCTGGAGATGGACTTTGTTGAAAGAAGTGTTGAGAAAGAGCCAGTGTCACAAGAAGATTTATTGTTTCTGACTAAAATGAAAGACGGTATAAAACTAAAGCAAAATGGTCATTTTGAAATGCCGCTACCCTTCAAGCAAGAAAAACCCAAACTGCCCAACAACAAACTTTGTGCAGAACTGAGACTAAAGTGCCTGGAAAGGCGCCTGAGGAAAGACGAGCACTACTTCAAAGATTATGTGGCATTCATGCATGACATCATAATAAGAGGTGATGCTGAGAAAGTACCAGAGGCTGAATTAAAAAACCAACCAGCATGGTATATACCTCACCATGGCATCTATCATCCACAAAAGCCAAATAAGATACGTGTTGTCTTTGATTGCTCAGCTAAGTTTCAGAATACCTCTCTAAACGAACACCTTCTATCAGGCCCAGATCTCACAAATACCCTTGTTGGAGTTTTGTGTCGTTTCCGGAAAGGGCATGTGGCTATTATCTGCGACGTTGAGCGTATGTTTCATCAGTTTCAAGTCGCCCCAGAAGATCAAGATTATCTTCGATTCTTATGGTGGGAGGATGGCAATCTGGATAAGCCACCATCAGTTTTTCGTATGAGAGTGCACTTATTCGGTGCAGCATCCTCGCCTGGATGCGCGAACTTTGGATTTAAGCACCTAGCTGCTCAAGGTGAAGGCAAGTTTAGTGAAGCTGCTGTGAAGTTTGTACAACGCAACTTCTACGTGGATGATGGGTTGGCCAGCGTGGACTCAGAGCAAGAAGCAATTCTGCTTGTGAAAGAAGCCAGAGAACTCTGTAACACAGGAAAGCTCCACCTACATAAGTTCGTCAGCAACAGCAAAACAGTGATTGCCACTATCCCAAAGAAAGAATGTGCAGCTGGAGCAACTGATTTGGACCTAGCTCTTGGTGAGCCAAAGATGGAAAGGGCTTTAGGGGTCCATTGGTGTGTAACCTCAGACACATTTTGCTTTAGAGTTGTTGTAAAGGACAACCCCTTCACTAGAAGAGGAGTGCTCTCCACAGTGGCTTCAATATTTGACCCACTTGGATTTGTTGCTCCATTCATTCTAGTTGGCAAAAGAATCCTTCAAAGAATGTGTCAGAAAAAACTGGGTTGGGATGAGCCACTTCCAGAAGATCTCAAACCTCAATGGGAAGCTTGGCTCAGGGACCTTCAGAACTTGTCTTCCATAAAGATACCACGTTGTTATGTACCACCAACATTCAACCAAGATCTGAAGTATGAGTTGCACAGTTTTGCTGATGCCAGTGAACACGGTTATGGGGTGTGCTCATACTTAAGAACTGTGACCAAATCTGGAAACGTGCAATGCACCCTTGTGATGGGGAAAGCCAGAGTAGCTCCTACTAAAGTGGTTACCATCCCAAGATTGGAGCTTTCAGCGGCTGCAGTAGCTGCAAAAACTGCTAACTTTCTAAAGAACGAGTTAGAAATCCAAGATCTTCAGCAGTACTACTGGACTGATTCCAAGGTCGTTCTTGGCTATATAAAAAATGATGCAAAACGATTCCATGTATTTGTTGCCAACAGAGTACAGAGAATCAAGTCAAGTACAGAACCAAGTCAATGGCAATACGTTGCCTCTCAACAAAATCCTGCTGATCACGCATCACGTGGAGTCATGACAAAGGAACTTGTAGACTCCAATTGGTTCACAGGACCGAGCTTCTTATGGGATAAGGAACTACCAAAACAAGAAATCGAAGTGAACGAGATCAGTACGGAAGACCCAGAACTCAAGGTTGCACAAGTTTTCACAGTGAAGACAAAAGAAGATAAACCTTTCTCAGAGCGACTGCACAAGTTTTCAGATTGGACAAGAGCTGTCAAAGCAATAGCAAGACTACGGCGACGTGTAAAGTATGCAAAAAACTTAAATGAAATGCCCAAGGAAAGCACAACGCTAGATGAAAGAAAGGATGCAGAGGAGTTCATTTTACGCACCATCCAAAGTGAATCATTTGGCACAGAAATCAAGTCGCTCAAAGAAAAGGAAGAAGTCAAGGCATCAAGCTCCAAGTTACACCAGTTAAGTCCATTCCTTGACAAACACAATATCCTGAGGGTGGGAGGAAGACTAACACAAGCGTCACTCCATCCTAACATCAAACATCCAGCTATCCTGCCAAAAGAGCATCATGTTTCACAGCTTCTCATCAAACACTTCCATGAGAAGATACATCATCAAGGTCGAGGGATGACAGTCAATGAAATACGTGCTAATGGCATATGGATTATTGGCTGCAGTACAGAAGTGTCATCATTCATATACAAATGTGTTAAATGCAGGAAATACAGGAAATGCAATCAAGATCAACGGATGAACGATTTGCCATCTGAAAGACTGGAAGCCACCCCTCCATTTACATACAGCGGTATGGACTGCTTCGGCCCATTCTGTGTAAAGGAAGGGAGGAAAGAAGTAAAGAGATATGGACTGTTGTTTACATGCATGTGCTCAAGAGCTATCCATATAGAAGTCCTGGATGACCTCAGTACAGACTGTTTTCTCAATGCACTTCGTTGTTTCATCGCAATACGTGGCAAGATCAGTCAATTACATTGCGATCAAGGCACTAATTTCGTTGGTGCAAGAAACGAACTGTTCCCGCAAGCAACTCAAGAGAAGGTTAAAGAGCTGGGCATTACTTTTGTTTTCAACCCACCTGCTGCTAGTCATATGGGCGGAGTCTGGGAGAGACAGATCCGTACTATAAGGAATGTTCTAAGATCCATTCTCGACCAGTCTGCCTCAAGATTAGATACTTCATCATTAAGAACTTTCATGTATGAAGCCATGGCAATTGTAAATAGTCGACCATTAACTGTGGAGTGTATCAACGACCCTGTAGGGCCAGAGCCGCTGACGCCAAACCATATTTTGACCATGAAGTCAGAAGTGATCTCACCACCATCTGGCGAATTTGTCAAAGAAGATCTTTATCTGCAGAAAAGGTGGAAAAGAGTGCAGTATTTGGCTAATGTATTTTGGACCAGATGGAGAAAGGAGTACCTGTTAAACCTGCAGCAGAGAAGAAAGTGGAATAAGAACCGCAGAAACACACAGATAAATGACATTGTTCTGCTACAAGAGGATTGTGTTCCAAGGAACCAATGGAAACTTGCCAGAGTAGTAGAAGTCACCCCAGGAGCTGACGGCAGAGTCAGAAAGGTGAAACTTCTCATCGGTGACACTACTCGGAACAACAAAGGAAAACATTCAGCTAAGACCGTTTTAGAAAGACCTATACACAAGACTGTACTTTTGCTTGAAGCAGAGTAAGGGCTCATAAGTAATGTCTATTTTGTAATATTGCTAAGTTCATTATCTTGTTTATTCATATTTAGAATCACCCATGCTAGTTGCAGTGTGATGGTGGGAGTGTAAATGCAGTTTAAGTAACTTTTTTGTTCAAAGTTTCACCACAAGATGGCACTGTGATTTTGTGATTGCCCTAGTAAGTTTATTTAACATGTTTATTGAAAGTATTATTTTTCATGTTTTTCAATACATTTTGTAGCATTTACAGGTGCACAGAATTAATACTTTTGATATTTGAGTAATTTTGAATTGGTTTATTTTGATAAGGCGTGTTTAAGAGCGCTGTGACGTCACTTCCTGTATCTCGAAGCTTCGGAGATTTTATTGCTGCGCACGGACAAATGTGTGCCAGTTAAGAACATTTGAGAAGAAGGTAAAGTGTTTTCAAGTCTACCGGTTTGTCTACTAGCAGGCCAAAGTGGTATGTTTATTCTTTATTTACAAATTCTGTATGTTAGCCAACTTAAGGCAACTAACTTGTTAATTTGTACATGATTTATGCTTTTTCATTAGTTCTACGGTGTTCATGTGGTGTAAAGAGTAAGAAGACGCAAGACCGCATTAAACATCAGTAAAAGGAACGCTCGTGTCTCTCGTGTATGTGAACAAGCCGGCACATTAACCCTTTGATGCATAATGGTCACTACAGTGGACAGGTACTCAAAATTGTTATTTATTTATTTTTGCTAATAAGCACAGCTGTTGAAGACTTTATTGTATGTGAGCCCCTCCATTTGGACTTCAGAAAGGCAAGCCACCATATTTCATGTTCAGAATGCACGCTGTCCACTGAGATGGACATGTAATAAATTATTTGTAAATTAACAAAATGTTACAAAAAATATTTGTTGAAATTTGTTTCATTCACACCTAAAGATGAATGAAAAAAATTGTTAAAAAAATCATGGTTGAAGATCTCATAATTCATGCATCAGAGGGTTAAATTTTGAATAGATAGAAAACGTGTTTGAATAAAAAGCTTAACGTTACATTGTTAAAGCCTATTTTTTTTATTATTCCTATATAATTACATCATCATTCTCACATGATGAATTTATTTAAAAGTGCAAAATGAAAGTTTTTCTTATGTGGAGAACGAATCCTAAAGTTTTAGTGTTGGCTATTCTATTGCACAAGGACTGAAAACACATTTAAAATCAACAAAACATTCACACAACTTCTCAGAGTTGTGCTTCTTAGTTTGTTCAACAACAAAATAGATTTCAATTCCATTGAAAATGGACAACAAAAAGTTTGATGCACAAATCTTTCAATCCCACTGAATCAGTCATGCTTTTCTATTATGCATTACATAATTTATTTTCTGCAGTTCTTGCACTGACCAAGCCAGTTTTTTGTGCAATGTCTGACCATACCAAGAAGAAAATTGGATGAATGGAGGACCAACGGAATCTCTCCCTAAAATGTCTGTTAGATCTTGAGGACTGTGCACCTAGCCTTCTGTGTTTGTGTCTCGGAGATAACTGTATCACTTTTCAAATGCACTACTTAGACTATTCCCACTCTTAGAAGTAGGGCCAATTTTTCCGAATTGACTTTTCAAATAAAGAATCTGATCATACTAATTAAAATCTGACTGAGGAAGAAAGATTTTTTTGTATTGCAACTTTCAAGGTATAATTTGCAAGGCATTTTACAAAAATGATAATAAAAACTAACGATAAAAGTTTAAAAATTAAAATGAAAAAGTAAAAACAAAAATGGAGAAAAACAAAGGGGGTTACAGTGAACTTGAGTCTAGACCTGTTCTAATATCAGTTATTTTCTAAAGCACTGCAAGAGTATTTTGGCTGTGAATTGGAGCTGTAGTAGAAAATCTCCAACAGAGACTTCCTGAATGATCCAAATCAAAATCAGAAAGTCTTTATTGTCAATTTACAATAATAAAAAAATAAGATAAAACTGAACATGTATTGAATTAAAATGGTGCATAGGCCGACACAGAAACAAATCTATTGATAACCAATATTTTTAAATAAAAAGTTCGTATTTATTTTACGGTTTATTTCTATTGTAGGTTTAAAAACACCACATGAGAGCTGACCAAAGTGCTGTACAAAACAAGTCATAATTGCAGTAAAACAAACATTACAAAAACAGTTAAAACAATCTACAGTAAGACCACAAAGCAAAGCCGAAGAGTCACTGGCCAAACACCAAGTCTCAGAAATAGATCATAAGTCGTGATTTAAAGCTAGCGACGGCTGATGCCTGTGTAACAGAGTGGGAAAGTGCATTCCAAAGCATGAGGGCAGTGCACAGAAAAAGGCTGGTCACACACTGTTTAAGGCTAAGATTGGGAATGTTGGGAATGGGAAGAGAGAGAGATTACGAGGGTCAAAAAGAATTGCTTCTGGACTTGTTCACTTTGAGGAAATTTGCAGCTAACCAGCCAGTCACCTCTGATCAGCAATCAGCATTTAGTGAGTCCACATTCAATCTGTTCATGGCCAAAATAGATCTGACAATCTTCAGCATAGTTGTGGTAATAGAAACTTCCAAAATTTGACCCAAAGGCAAAATTAAAAAAAGGAAAAGAAGAGAGGCTCAAGAACAGAGCCCTGAGGTACTCCCCAAAGTAGCAGGATACAAGGAGAGGTACAGTCCTAAATCTGGACACAGAAGGATCTGACATTTAATTTACATTTAATTATAATCTGAGTCTTTTGAAAATGACTGCTTCTTTGAAAAGGTCATGATAAAAATCAGGATAAAAATCTTTAAATGACCCTTTGAAGTGACATCATATTAAATATAATGGAAACTGATTTTTTCCCCTCCTGATGTCATTGTCCAACTCCAGTCACAAACTGGTTGATCCAGTTCTCCCAGCCTGGTGTTCCAGAGCCCCACACATCAGCGAGACAGCACACCTGCAACTCAAATATCTCTCTCTCTCTCTCTCTCTCTCTCTCTCTCTCTCTCTCTCTCTCTCTCTCTCTCTCTCTCTCTCTCTCTCATCCCCCTCCTCCTCCACCTCTGCTGCCTTTCTCCCTCACTCTGTTTGACTCACAGGACTGGAGATCAGCCATGAGGTCGTTCATCCTGCTCCTCATCTCCCTCGCCTTGTGGCTCAGATCGATCAGCTGTAGACCCTCTTCGTCCTGTCCCGGGGGACAGTTTTTGCTGAAGAACCAGTGCGTCTTGTGCCATCCCACCTGCTTCGAGTGCGACGGACACGAGCTGTTCGACTGCACTACCTGTGGAGTTGGTGAGTGCAGGATCGTTCTCTTTAAATACCTTCTCTTACAATTAACAATTAACCTGGCATAGTAACGAAATCTGAGTTTTTTCCTTATAAACATCCTTTTTGATCTGTTATGCTCTGAAATGTAGAGATGGACAATTTATTCCCCTCTTTGTTCCAACTACTGTTTTCAACCCTGAAGATGTCAAACTGCAACAAAGCCATTCAGCCTCATAATTCTTCAGCCCAAAAATTATTTTTTTCTTTAGAGTTCTTTTTAATGATTAGCTTTAGTGCTGCAGAAACATTCAGCTTTCTCTGTTAAACATTTGCATGTTGATTTTTCCGCCACAAGAGCACCTTTGAAGTGGGTTTAAAAAAATGAAGCTGTGACCATTTTCTTGTGCTCGGTGTAACCTGATCATCTCATAATGGGGCCTTTGTTAATCAGAAGGAGAGGGAATAACCCTTTAGGGCTAAAGAAGTATTTCTGTGGCAGTTTTTTTGGGTTTAAACTGCAAGTGTGACACAAAATTCTCTTTGAAAACTCACCACAGCAGCCTGCTAGGTGCCAAAGATAAATCTGCAACTGCTCTGCTTCCAGAGATGCCTCAGGTGCTCAGTGATAGTAGCAGGTGGCAGAGTAATGATCATTAAGGCCATAGCAGATATCCGTCTCTGTCTAAGGCTCCGATCTCTCGTCTGTGTCTGATTACTCTCATTTGAAGCATCACTAGTCAGGAAGTGATTCCCTGCTGTCATCTGTTAGTTGCAGTCGATATGTTTAGACGATGCTCTCTTTTATTACACGTGTGATTTATTCCCCGAATCCCCGCAATAATCCGCTCTGATCCACTTGCTGAGCTTCTCCATCGGTTTTTATGGAGGCAAAGAAGTTTTTTACAGCAAGTGCTAGAATGGCTTCCCTCAATCCTTCATGCTTAAGGATGTTGTTACATTTAGACCATCAAGAAAATTCTTTGGCTTCGTATCTCATCTTGTGTATCCACCTCCTCGTCCTCAGGTGAAGATGGACAGGAGCGTTTCCTCCATCAAGGTCGCTGTCGGGCGCATTGCCCCAGGGGACTCTTCCCCGACAGGGGTCACTACACGTGCTTGCCCTGCATAGCCAATTGTGAACTATGCACAGATGGTAATTTATGTGCCAAATGCCGGGAACACTACAAACTCCAGAATGGGATCTGCCAACAGGCACTCTGTGACATAGGTAAAGCTGAGTCCTGAGTCCAAGGCTGTAACTTAAGAGAGAAGGCGCTCATTGTTCTGTGTTTCAGGGCAGGTGCAGGACCCAGAGACCGGGGAGTGCACCAACTGTGAAATGGGTTGCAGGACATGTTCTGCAGGTAAACATGCTTCCTGTCTGTGATGTGAAGGGGATCAGGGATGGATATTTAATACCTGATGATGGTAGTGGACATCACAGTTTGCCTTTCTCCTGGACTTTTAATTAATCACCTTTTTTTTTTCCTCTTGTTCCCAGAAGACCCCGAGTTTTGCAGCGCCTGCATTCAAGATTACTTCCTGTGAGTCTTTATTTTCTGTCCTAAATCAATTGACTGTTTATGGTATTTTTATCTGCACTAGAAAATTCAAATATTACAGCTTAAGCTCTGCAGGCACTAAACAAGTGCTGTTTTTAGTCATTATTTCCACTTCAATGATGTTTTATTTGTTGTTTCACTCATTGTTTTTGTGTTTAACTGATGAGTAAAACTAGTATTAGAAAAAACTGTTTAGATAGTCATGTGTTGTAATCGCTGACTCTTTATATAATTGATGGACCGTCCATGTGGTCACCCGTAGGTTTCTGAAGAGCTGTGTTGAAGCCTAGTGGGCGTTGCCCACCACCACCACCATATTGCTTGTGTAACCGTCACTCCAGGAAAATACAAAAGTAGGGCTGAAAGCAGGACTGCGAGGGTAGGGGCAGATGACACCCATCACACTATGAGCCAATGTAACTAAGGAGCTAACTGAAGCTAACGGACTTTAGCAGGCACTTGGAGCATCTTGGAGCCTTAGGTAGTTTATGGGTGGTCAGACCATGGCGGTAATGTGGCGCAATCATGTTCTTTTTACAAAAGATTATGCGATGGTGGAGGTGAGGGTGTGGGGGCGTTCTCCGCCCTGTCACAGACTCCCTTTTAGCTTGACATAAGTTGCTTTTTATTTCAACTGAAGCTGTGCTCCTTCAGTGTTTTGACAAGTCGTTCCTACAGGTGTCTGTTCCCCACATTCCTCGTGAACTGTCTGGTGAACTGAGCTTCAGCTCCAACGAAGAGATGTTTCCGGAGCTCTGCATCCCAGTTGATTCTGTTCAAAAGAATGAAACTTACAGCCTGTGTTTATTTTCACATATGTGGCGAGGTGGAGAAACAAGGGCCTGGGTGGGATTTGATCCCCTGACTCCCAGGTGAGAGTCATGCTTGCTAACCAGTCAGCCAAAGGGATATCCCTGCGGCCAAGTAGCCAGGGTGCATGATCAATCAGGATACAGTGACAGGACGCTCACCCTGTCACATATAGTTGCCGACTGGAGCTTGGCAGTAATTCCACCCGTGATCATGACACCACCCTTTATTGTGCCAAGGCGTAATATTCATTCACAAGTCTGGCATTGCGGCAATATTACTTACCACTAAACGTGGTGGCACAAATGCAGCAAAATTCCGACATCGCCATGCTGCCATGGCACTTCCATAAGACACACCGTAGCAGCAGTATTACGCTGATTTGCCGCCATGGCGTGTCTTCTAAACAAGGCCGGATTAACCATATGGGCAACTGGGCAATTGCCCAGGGCCCACGAACTCTAAAGGGCCCAGGGCAGCAAGGGCACGAGCAAAATACTGTAGGCCTATCTGTAATCTCCCGCTTTATATTAAACTAGGGTGACCGTACGTCCGGTTTTCTCCGGCCATGTCCACTTTTCACTCTCTGTCCGGGCGTCCGGACTGGAGGTTCTTGTATTGATGAAAATGTCCGGCTTTTCATCCAGGAGCAGGGATCAAATTATGGGGGAGCTGTATATCCTACACATCCAGGGGAGCCGGAAAAAAGTTTTCTACCGATATTACATCATTTATGGACTCTTTTGAGCAGAGAGCACAGAGAGCGGCACAGCGCTGATCGTTGTTACGCAGCGCTCCAGGCAGCTGCTTCCAGCGCACGGTCCATTCTCAAAGTGGCGCAACCAAAAAACTATAATTAGCACACGATCGTTCATGTCCGCACATGTTCTCTATTTTCTGTCTTATTTGCGCCTGAAGCGCTCTGCCACTGCGGAGCACATCACCTGTGCTGCGGTGATTTCACCTCATTGACGCAGCATCGAAACGCGCTCTCCGCTTTACGGTCAGGAGATCCCTTTGATCTGCTCAAAAGTAACTGATGAGGTGAAACGGTAAGAATCCAGGCAGCAGTTTTTTTGGAGAGTTTAGAGCAGATGCAGGAAGATGAGAGACAGACAGGGCAGGAAATAGTTAAATAAAAACAAGAAAACAAAACAAGGTGTTGAAAAGTAAAATGTAGGTAGATTTATCTCCACTACACGTTTTTACCTGTATAAAACAATAAGTTATGCACATGTAATATTTATACATCTGATACAATTCAGATCACCTTCAAAACTCAGTCACACACCCAGGGCCGTTTCAAGACATTTTGGGGGCCAAGGCAAAATGACCCCACCCACCCCCACCCCCCATAACTGGGCTCCCCAGAAGCCTCTGTGTAATCCATACCCTGTCCAGTTATACAGTGTTTGTAAAAGACCCTCAGACATTACTGACATGTTCTAATATTATCAGATGAAAAGCTAAATGATCAGACATGCTGTCTCATCTGCTGCTTTTAAAAACTTGCAAAAAGTAACAAAACCATTTGAAAGCCACTATTTGTGGATTCTCTGAAAGTTTTCATGGAGTGTGTGACAACTTATTTTTTCATTGATCCTATCGTCTAATCTCACAGCGGAAACAAGCATCCTTAATAATCTGTGCACAGGAAGCGTACCGATGCTGTAGTAAAACAAAAGGTATAATCATTTCTTATGAATAAAACCTTGTTGCAGCACTAAAGCAGAAAAATTAGATTTTGCAATAAATATGCTAAATATTTACATACGAATTGTTTTAGAGACCTTTTATTGGCAGAATCTGATATTAATTTAATTCTTACAAAAAAATGGGTCCCAATGTGGTTTGTGTGGCGTTGCCATAGTGTGACGTCATAGGCACAGATCCCCTGTCCTCTTTTATGGAAATGGAAATATGGTCACTCTATATTCAACAAACTGTCCACCAGGGCTTTTGCGCTGCACAGAGACGCTTCGCTGCCTATGACTTTGAACGTCAGTTGAGAGTCAGTCTCGTGCAGACTGACCAATGAAGAGAGGGCCTCAAGTTAAGACCCTCTCCTCATTGGTCAGTCCACACGAGGTGGGTCAAAGGTTACCATGTGCGGGTTATGCGATGTCAGGCTTTCAAGTATTGAGTATATTTACTGCATATTACAGTAAAATATTCAGTATGTGACCATATAATGGTGATTCTTGGGTCGTGATGATGGGGCCCTTGAATATTGTTGCCCAGGGTACAACAAAGTGTTAATCTGGCCCTGCTTCTAAAACCAGCTAATAATAACATGCTCCTCTCCGGAGCCAGCCCCCAGTGGATGAGAGGGGAACTACAATTTTTGTCATATCCGCGTCAGCTTCAATTTCGGCAGGTGGAGTTTCCCCCTTGGCTGTGAATGACTCTCAACTACCACCACACGCCATTTTACTGTAGTACGTGTAAGATGTATGTGTTGACCATTGTAGTAGCAGGGTCGCCATCTTGAATTGAAAAACTTCTAAAAAGTGACTCTGCTTCTGACAGATCACGGCTAATATTAAATTGCAGAAAATAAACAGTTGCAACAAAATACATCTTTATCATTTAGATTGTTTTAGTAATGTCTTGTTAATGAATGAACTTCCAAGAGTTCCCTAGAAGGGGAAGTGCCATGCTCTAGAAACAAATCTGGAGGGGATCGTGCATTTTCTATGGTGGACCCAAACCTATGGAATGTGTTGCCTTTGCTTGAGGCAGGCACCTTCTCTCCAGTCTCATTTTTACCAATTGGCCTTTTTCCCCTTGAGTCCCAAGTCAAACCTGGTTTTATTGTGATTTTATTTTTTTATTGTTTTGCAATTCCTTAAGTTAACCATCCAACTCAGTTTTACTCAGATTTTCTTTTATCGTTACTTATCTTTTTTGCTGTTTGGGTGTTTATAGCTTGTTTATACTGATGTTTCATATCCTTTTTACTATGTTTTTGCCTCATTTTATTGTGATAGTGTACAGCACCTTGGGCTACTGGAAAGATAGTGGAAGGTGCTGTAGAAATATGATGATGATGATGATGATGATGATGATGATGATGATGATGATGATGATGACAAAAGCACTGTTTAAATGAAGCTTGTGCTACCAAAAGAAAAAAATTCCTTCTCACTGACTTTTGCTTACTTTAGTTTATTACTTAGACCCAGAGATTGGTTATAGAGCGAGAACAGATCCACCATTTGTGAGCTTCTCCCAGGAGTTCAGGCCTCCTGGTATTGTGCGAATCAGGTTACGCACCATTTTCAGTCACAAGCTGTTACCTGAGCCTTGGTTTGAGCCCAACAGAGCATGAGAGGAGGAAGAGGAGTGGAACACGGAGAAGGTAGCTGATTCTGAATCCACACAGCAGATGAGGATTGAAGGAGAATCCACCAATTAACTGCACATAATGTAGTACTCAACCTTCCTCGGTGTGTTTAGGTGAGCAGGAGTAATGGTTTTAAAGATTTCAAATGGCAGACCATCTTGATAGTTCCTGTAGTCACAGTTATTATTACATCTACCCTGTGTAACACACACCAATAAAATAAAAGTTATTATTGCTGCCTGGAGGCAATCGTAGACTAGAAGAGTCAATTTTCTTACATCCGTTGTGACAGTTCCTCTAATTTTCTGGCAAATTTCATTGTCTGAGGTTCTGGATTCAGTGATGAAAATGTTAAAGATACGTAAGATTGACAGTTTTGGCATAACTTTGTATCCCTGGGAACAATGTTCCTCTCACAAAACAGAAAGAAGCAGAGCATGATGGATGCTTGGTATTTGTTGGCATTTATCTTTCTCCCCAAGGTGCTACGTAAGTGCAGCTAAACAGAAATTATCATGTTTCAGTCTCCAAATGGTTTAAACCTTTCATTTTCTTGGGTTTATTCAACTTTTGGCACCATCTACGGCATTGTTTCACACATTTCTGATCAATTCGTGCAGTAAAAGACCAAAATGAAACTTGCAGAGGGAATGCAAATGCACCCCATTGCCTCTGGATTGGATAGTCTAATATTTGCACAGAGGGTTTTCTTAAACATCCCACAGATTCTTAAGTAGAGGACGGTTTCCCAGCTTGAGAAAGATCCTGGTCTCCATCAGCTGCTATTGTGAGCGAGCTGATGGATGCAGTGTGACGCCTCCAGCTGTTCTTCATCAAACAATCGCCACGTCTTTGCACCAAATCCATGGCAACACAGTCAGAAAAGCAGCTTAGACTGTCAGCGGTCATACGCTTTCATAGCGGAGGTGGCAAAACAGCAACAGGGCGCAACCAATGTTTCTGACCATGATGGCCATGTTTACTGGCTGAAACACAAAATTATAGTTGCTCAAAACTTTGTTAAACAAGTCGTGTTCCTTATTATATTAATTCAGATGGAAAGGATGAGTGATACGTTAAATTAGTGGATATTTAAATAAAATTATAAAACACAGAAAATAAATTTGCTTTTAGATGATGATGGAAAAACATTGAAATGAAATAAAAACAGCCTACTTTATTGTTCCCATGCTGTTGTTTGAGGAGTGCATTGAGGTCAACAATAGAGCTGCAGGTGTGTCGAGGACGGACGCGGGGCGATCCCTGGCCGACCTGTCTCATGTAAACCAGAGCCGCCTCGGGCAGCAATTGGTCCTGATGGCCTTCAAAGTGCCTGAAATGGCAGCTGCTTTCAACAACAGTTTGATATTTCACTACCTTGTTCTCACAGGTTCTTTCTGTTTGATAAGACACAATAAACACTGAAGCACCCTTATAAGTGTTCAGTTTGTGATTCCATTACAAATATTCAGCTTTTACACCTTGCAGCGTTGAAAGAAAATAAAAGATAAACGTGTAAATTATACATGAAAATGTGAAGATCAATCAGGAATAGTGTCATTGTTGGGTGTCACCAAAATTAGCATCAATGAGATTTTGATCCAAAGGGTGAGAAATCAAGTCTAATGGACCTCTATAATGCTGGTCACAGTTTAAATGAGTCGGAGTAAGTTAGACTCCACATGACTAAGCTGGCATTTCAGTGTCTTTTATGGCTTTTACATAGTCTCCATCAAATGATCCACTACATGATCCCGGACGGGCCCCCATTTATGTTTCGACCTGGCTCATAGGACCGCAACATAAAATGGAGACTGAACAAAATTAGAAGTTTTGAGTATTTTTTTAATTTTTTTTTTCAAATTAAAATCAGCCTCCAAAAGGCCTCACCAACAGGCAGGAACTCCTGAGGTGATCTCCCTGAAGCTGCACCAAGCAGCCTTTTATCCTGCACCCACAGGTGCAACCACTCAGTGCAATCAAGGACTGCAGACAGCCAGGCCAATTGAATAGAGGGGCGTAACATCAGCTTGATCAATTGAAGGTTCCGTTATTTTACAAACTCTTTCTCATTCCACCAACCTAAACTCTAAAAACGAAACGTTGAAATCACTAGTTATTTCAACTGGAGTAACGAACATTTACTTTAAACATAATTAAAGCTACAATGTGACCGTGCTGACGTTCAAAACCTAGCTTATTCTGTAGACTTGCTATAGCAGCTTTATCACACCAGTTATCTTAGGTTTACTGGAACCAGTTGACGTAACTTTGTTAAGTAAATGCAATGTCTCCTTTCTTATAAGTACATAAACAAAGACAAGTTAATAGTTTTAAATCTATTCATTAATGGTTTTTTTTTATAAATTCCTCTAGTTTCAGACAGAAGTGTCGCAGACATTGCCCTCAGAGCACCTATGAGGACCGTAGCAGTGGTCTCTGTCTGTCCTGCCTGGCTCCATGTGAGGACTGCAGGAGCAACACCCGCTGCATCGCCTGCCAACCCGGTTACTTCCTCAATGGTACAAGTACCACAAACACAATCCTTGTAGGTTTTCCATGGGCTGTGACTTTTTTGTCCTTTAAAGGGCTTCTTTGTAACTCATAAAAGGCTCTTCTGCAGTATATCTTTGAGCTTGTGACCATTTATTCTAGCTAAAAACAAAGGTCATCCAAGTCTTCATTTGGATTGCAAATAAAGAATATGTCTGCAAATCTGTAGACGATATGCAAATGCATGGCCTATGCAAAGAATGAATTATGTTTGTGTTGCTTTTTGTTAAGGAAACTTTAACACTGTAAAACAAATGGAAATTGCTTTTAGATACTAAAATTTATGATCAAGTTGTTTCCTGCACACAAAGATTTGAGTTATGACTTGTTGCAGATTTATAAATCCTGAAAGGGCAGATTTAAATTTTCACTTGACTTTATTTTAAGTCTACTAGTTTAAAAAGGACCAGCAGATTTCCGGGTACTTTTTAGAACCAGTGTTAAACTAGATGCATTAAAATAACATAGATATATTACTTTTTTAAATGCCCTTATGTATGGCACTTTTAAAACATTAAGCAGCAGTTTTTACCATTTTCTGCTTCTTTCCTTTACAATGCATTTTATTTTGGAGACAGTTTTCTCTTGAAAATGAGAAGCAGTCCTAGTGAGATGACCTGCGTGTGTGGGAGTGAAAAATGAAATAATCCTGTCTGTCTAGCCCAGACGGAGACTTCTTGTTGGGAATCCAATCCCTGCAGTGACATCACTTCTTCCCTGTTACACCAGGTGAGGAGTGTGTGAAGCAGTGTCCCATGCAAACCTTCAGCGATTCCAGCGGGTGGCGCTGCCAGCTTTGCCACAGGTCATGTCAGACCTGTCATGGACCTCATTCAACAGATTGTGACCTTTGTGTCAGCGGGAATCCTCCTCTGCATGGACAGTGTCCTCAGGTCAACTGTCCACTTGGACAGTTCGTTGATGGTGAGTCTGATTTTCACAATTTAAGGTCTTTATGCGCATTTTTACTTAGGAGCTTTATGGAGCTGAAAAATCCTCACCTTATGGAAATGTCAATCAGAATTTTTGGGAAAAATGACAGTAACACTATACAGTAAGGGTCCCTTTATTAATGTTACTTAGTGAACTATTAAGCATAAATAAAGTATATAGTGAAGTAAAAACTGCTCAACAATATGGAATGCATATAAGCAAACACTCCCCTAACATTAAGGACACTTAACAATATTGGGAACAGTAATAAAGTGATCCTTTGTTTATTAATGGTTAATAATGCACTAAGTAACGTTAATAAAGGGACCCTCTAAGTGTTACCAATGACACAAATTCCATAAATGTATTTTTGATCAGTAGAAGGAGTACTCAGTGTCAAAAACACAAGAAACTTATTAGAGCAGATCTTTGTTTTCACAAACTCGTGTCTATGCAGTCAGACATAAACATGGCTGCCTGGAACTTTGTCAGTTTGATAAAAAATTGGAGTTAAAGTTTGTTGTGTTTGTAGCTCACAGTCAACAAGCCATTTAAAATGAAATTAGTTTAAAGGAGTTAAGTTTTCTGGCACAAAAACACTTTAGAAAGCGTACTACTTCCTGTTTTTGGAGCGAGTCATGCCAAATCGATTGACCTCCTTAGCTTTCAGAGTTCTTAGTTAGATTATATAAAGATTGTGTATTCTCCTTTTGTGGTTTGGTTCTTGCGGTATTTCAGCAACCTGAAATCAGTGTTTTCGTGAGGAATTAGGATTCTGAACCAGGGCCGGGCAGAGACCTTTGACGGGGCAGGTGCTCAAAGTAAAACAAGGGGCACTTATAGTGCAAAACTTTTAAACAGATTCACAATCCAACAAGTTAGAAAATTCAGATAATGAGACCTTTGGGTTCAAACAGCATAATAAAAATATATCAATTAGTGTCATTAATGTTAATATTAGTTCATAAATAATAGTTTTAGTTTTTAAAGCTGCCTTATATCTAGAGATGTTACAACCACATTTTTGCCCCTGATCCAAGTCCAAGTTGCTTGATTTTTGATTATCTTCCAATACTGAGTCCTGTTCTGATACCAGGTGGTGATGCAATGAGTTACAAAAGAAGAAAGAAGTTGTCCTTCTGGCTGCATTTGTCATTTTGTTATTTTAGCCTTAAAAGGTCCCTCATTCAGGAAGTACATTTAACAAGAATCAAGATTCAAGATAATTTATTGCTATTGCACAAGTGTGCAATCAAATATATTTTGCGCCTACTAAAGACAGCGTTAGTAAGAGGTAGTAAATAAATGTAAAATAAATGCACCACAGAGAGTTATCCAGTGTGATCTACAGCTATGTTAGCTGAGATCTTTTTCCTGTCAGTAGAAAATTCTTGATCCCATTCCATGATCTCACTGAACTTCCCACCAAGCATGAGAGCTCTGCTACCAACCTAAAAACAAAACCCTTTACACAAAGGCACCATCATCCCATACATGGCAGGAGTCTCAGAGAAACTTAGAAGAATCTTCTCCAAACACAAAATTGCAGTAAACTTTAAACCCAACAACACCCTCAGACAGAACCTGGTCCATCCAGAAGACAAAACACCAAAACAGAAGCTCAGTGGTGTGGCTTATGCAGTCCATTGTAGGAGCACTGTCCAGATCTTTACATTAGAGAAAATAAACAACAATTACACAAGAACATAACACAACACAGGAGAGCCACCTCTTCAGGTCAAAGCTCTGCAGTCCACCTTCACCTGAAGGACAAGGGACACATTTTTGAAGATGACAAAGTCCACATTCTGGACAGAGAAGATAGATGATTAAAGGCATTCAACAGAAACAGTTTTGTTTAAAGTTTCAAGTGACATCATGATGGCTGCAGACAACAGGGAATTCACAGTGTTGGTATTGATAGATCTTTCTGCAGCTTTTGACACTGTTGATCACAGCACCTTAATTAACAGACTTGGTGACTCGGTGGGGATCTCTGGAACTGTTCTAGACTGGTTTAGATCGTACCTTTCTAACAGAAGTTACAGTGTCTGTAGAAACCAAATCATGTCAGATTCTACCGATCTGTTCTGTGGGGTACCCCAAGGTTCTGCTTTGGGTCCACTGCTGTTTCTGCTGTACATACACCCTCTTGGACAGATACTTGATTCTTTTCATTATGTCTTTTATCGCCTATATGCAGATGACATTCAGCTGTACTGCTCCTTTAAGGATTCTGAGTTCTATAAACTGTCTGAATTACTAGAGTGTCTATCAGCTATCACCAGCTGGCTAGACGATAACTTCCTTCAGTTAAACTCTGAAAGGACTGAATGTCTGATCATTGCCCTTGAGAGCATGGTTCCCCTGATTAGTCTAAAACGTGGTCATTTATCCTCTGCCGTCAAGACAAACTTAAGGAATTTGGGTGTTATTTCTGACCAATCAATGTCTCTTGAAGGTCACTCAAAAACGTTGGTCTGAAACTGTTTTTATAATTTAACATCACCAAACTGCGAAGGTTGGTGTCAAAACATGAACTTGAATTGGTTCTCCACGCCTCTATCTCCTCCCGTCTACATTACTGTAACACACTCTTCACATGTTTTAACAAAAAAGCCCTTGACCGCCTTCAGTTGGTCCAGAACTCTGCAGTGAGGCTCCTAACTGGAGCAAACAGAAGAGCACACATCACTCCTATTCTGATGCCTCTGCACTGGTTACCCATTAACTTTAGAGTTCATTTTAGAATCCTGACTAGAACTTTCAGGGCTCTACATGGTCAAGCTGCTCCCTATATTACTGAACTGTTAAAGCCTGATACTCCAACCCAGCCCTCAGATCCACACACCAGAACCTTCTAGAAGTTTCAAAGACCAGATATAAAAGTTGAGGTGATCGCTCCTTCCCGACTGTTGCACCCCGACTCTGGAATGATCTTCCTTTATCCTTACGCAGCACTGACAGTCTGGACACTTTTAAAAAACAGCTAAAGACCCTTTTGTTTGAAGGTGCTTTTACCTAAACCTTTTATTTTCTTATTTTTAACTAAATTTTTAATCTTTCATCTGTTTATGAAAATTCATAATTTCATGACTTTATTTTTTCTGACATTAATCTGATTCTGTTTTGAGGATGTTAATTTATTTATGATTTTATTACTTTGTTTTATTTTGTTTTGATCTATGTGAAGCACTTTGTGATTGTATGTTTGTGATAAGTGTATAAATACAATTTACTTACACTTTTGAAGATGACAAAGTCCACATTCTGAACAGAGAAGATAGATGGGGAGAGGAGTAAAAGAAGCTATCTATGTCAAAATGTGAAAAACCCACTTTAAATAGGGGAGGGGCTACCAATAATGTAGCTTTGAATCTCATTCCTAAGCAGTTTCAGTCTAGATCACACCTTCCTGCATCTAATCAACATGATGACTCACCATCAATAGAGGCTAACGACTCATCAGTGGATAAAGAGGAGGGGTACTCAGAATAGTTTCTGCTCTTTAAATAACAACAGACAGCAACAGCTTATAAGCTTGACTCTCCCATATTCAATTTAGAATTGACAAAGCTCCTTAGAGAAGTGAAACGTTTTAAAGAAACCAAAGAAGTCCAGCTGCCATCATCTGAACCCTTTGGAGTAATAGTCAATAATAAAACATACATAATAAAGTCATAAAACATATTTAATTATGCTCACATTCACTTTTACCATCTCTTTGTGGGAGGCAGAAAATTTATCACGGTTAACCCTCTTATGACCATAAATGTAACAGTTTTTTGTTGTTGTTTTGTTTTATGGCTTTAAAATTGTAATAAAAGTGTAAAATGTTTGTAACTCTTCTCCTTTTTTCAGAACAGCCTCAGCTTTCACCGTCTGGCTTGTATTTAGTGCTTATGTTTATCAAAGTCTGTAAAACTGAAAATTAAATTAAATGAAAAAAAATATTTGAATTTTCTTTACATTTATTACTAAACAGGAACTTCAAAATGACTTGAGCAAACTATTTCAAAATAACTATTTAAACTCAGAACTGCAAACACTCAGAAAACAGTGTGAACCCTGGTCTCATGTTTACCAGTTTAATGACTGTTTGTGACCACAGGTCTATGCTCTGGTCCAGAGAACGGGATACAGTAAAATTAATACTAGGTAACATAAGTGTCTTAATGGTCTTGGGCCTTCTTATCTTTCAGAACTGCTTTTACTGTATAAACCCTTGCGGTCTCTGCGCTCCTCTGGCAGCCGTCTCCTAGTTATCCCTAAAGTTAAGACTCACACCCACGGCGAGGCGTCCTTCAAGTATTACGGCCCTCGCCTTTGGAACGGGCTGCCGGAGGACCTCAGGTCCGAAGGGAACATCCAGGCTTTTAAGAATAGGCTCAAGACCCACCTTTTTAGCTTAGCTTTTAACTGATCACTATTTATCTATAAGTACATATTTATCTCTTTTATTTTTTTTTATCATTTTATCTACATCTTAGTGTTTTTATATGATTATGTTTTCTTTTACTATCTTCATAATCACTTTTTATCAGTTACTTTTTATCATTATTAGCTTTTATTATTTTATATGTTATATATCTTAAATCCTCCAGTGTTTCCTCTGCGGAGCCCTCTGCCTTGGGGCCGGTGGTCAGGGGCGGCGGCGGCCGGGGCGCTCCCCGGGTAGTGCCCGGGCACTGGTGGGGGTTTCTGCCCTACGCCACTGGGTGTCATGGGCCGGTGTCTTGGCTGCTGCCGTGGATCTGTTGCTGCCAGGGCAGATGGCTCCGCTGATGATGTGTCGTTCATTACCTGACCCATCTGAACTCAGCCTATTGTTTCCTCTGGTGTTCACGAGTGTGTGTGTGTGCGTGTGTGTGTGTGCATGGACGAGTGTGCGGGTGATTGTATGTCCACTTTTGGAAGTTGGGTGCGGGAGGGAAACTGTAATTTTTAATTGTTTTATACTTGGGGAGGGGGGCTGGGATGGGAATGTGGGATCTATGGGGCCATTTTAATCTGTAAAGCACTTTGAGTTGCATTTTTTTGTATGAAAAGTGCTATATAAATAATGTTGATTTGATTTGATAACACTCATACATCACAACTGTAGCTACATTTCTACCAGCATTATAAAGATCAGTCAGCCAAATAAAAGGTGAATGCTAAACATTTCATTCCAAAAAAATCAACTAATAAAATCCTGCACTGCAATTATCCATACATCCATTTTCTGAACCCGCTAGGGTCGCGGGGTGGGGTGGGGGTGGGGGGTGGTTGTCTTGATAAAATTATATTTTCAGCTAAATAAATATTTATTGTAAGTATAAATAATGCTGAAATGAAGCTGAATCTTCCATTTAGTAAACAGTTGAGTGGTCAAATAAAAACCAGTGTGACCGTAATCTGTCCCTCCTCATGTCACCATCTACAGAAACAGCCTTCTGGGGCACCTGACCAACCAGGTAGATTTTATTTGTGACGTTTCCATAACTTTATAAAAGCTGCTGATGAAGATGATCAGGTTATCGCCTCCCTTTGGTTCTCCGCTCTCCCATCGCTGTTCGCTCCGTTTTTTTTCTGTGACGCTCGCTGCAAAGCTGGTTTCCCTCTAGGCTAATAGCAATTTTTTTGAGTAACATGAATTACATCATGTAATACCTCATTGAAAAGCTCGTTTTATGTACTGTTAGAAACCATTTGAAGCATTTTTATTCGATTTGTAATTCAGAAGTTATGACCCGGAGAATCTTGAGTGAGAAAAATCAACATCTGTGATTCTTTGTTGTGAGTTTCTTCGACACTTCAGGAGAAGTCTCTCATGTCCCATTTTCTGTCCCAGACATGCAGCTACCTGTCTCTGCTCCACACACACTAACCACGGACTCAAACGCACTTAAACAAAAGCTCTGATATTAAAATCCATCCAGCTGACGTGAAGCAGGCAGAAAAAAACACAGGTAGATGAAAGCAGACTCCTGCCTGCAGGTAAAACACCGGTCTGTCGTCTCCATGGCTGCAAGGTAGAGCGACAGCGGAGACAACCAATCACATGTTAGTATGATGTGGCGGAGCCAATCAGTGAGCTTGTAGGCGGGTCTAAGGGAAAATAGGCTTCAGCTTGAGACAGCTGCCTCCGCATGGTCCCAGTGCTGACCTGTATCACAGTATAACAGTTTTGAATGGTAAAATCTGACAAAAGACCGGAAAAAGGGCACTTTGGGCACTTCAGACAAAAGGGGAAGGTGCTCAAGCACCCCCCCCCCCCCCCCCCCCACACACACACACCCCACCCGCACATGCCTGTTATGAACCAATGTTTCCCTTTCTGATTTAGTTCCAAACTTTTCAAACAATTTCGTGATTTCTGTTAGCTTTAATATAAATAAAATGCACCCTGTCCATCAGAAGATCAAAACGTGTGTTTACCAAACTCTCTTCCTTGTTTAGCATTTTCTGTTGACTAATGAGAACAGCTGTTTTTGTTTATTAACCTCTTCCACTATGCTGTTATTTTGTTTTAGACTACACTGAAATTGTTTGATTTCATTTAGCATTGTAGCAATACTTTTTATTATCTTATTATCGAGTAGCTTTGTGTAATAACAGAGAAAACACTGTAGCACACAGCAAGATTGCGGCTGATGCTGTTTTATAAACCATCACTTATAGTTTAATGCAGACCAAATTCAATCACACTCAGAACTCAGTTTATTCCAGAAACGAGGGTTCTGATAACATCACATTCACATATCACATTACACTACATCATACACTCACCACGTATCAGTGTTCCCTAGTTGTCATGTCCTATAATTTGTTTAGAAAATAAATTTCTTACTTTTTATAAACTTGACTTTGTCTGAATTAATACGAAGTGTACTTCGTACCCTGAATAAACAAAGAATCTTAATTCTTCTGGTTAAATATTCAAGGATCAATCAGGTTGATATTTTATAGTTATATGGAATCACCAAATCTTATTGATCATAATTAAAATCCCAAAATACATCTGTACACTAACACTACAACAATGTAAATATTTCACTTTGATTGTTTCATTGATATACAATCAGAACAAACAATCATTCATTGCTTCTGCTTCCACCTAGTGGTCTGAAAAGGTCAAACAAAATTTCTTCAATTGTTTCATAGGCAAATACAGTGAATGCCATCCATGTGACGCTTCCTGTAAGACCTGCTTCGGGCCTCAAGCGCTGGATTGCTCTTCTTGTTTTCAGGGTACAAATATTTGCCCTTTTTGATTCCAGTGAAGTACAGTGATAGCGCTCCTTATAAAAGAATATGCTTGTTTGCTTGTGTGTGTTCCAGGATATTACCTGGATCAGGACAGTTCTTGCGTAGAACACTGCCCATCTGGCTCCTATGCAAACCCAGCTACCCAGCTGTGTGAAGACTGCTCACCCAACTGTGAGGCCTGTGTGGACACCAGCGACAACTGCATCAGCTGCTCCAGAGGCAGCAGTCAACTCTTCCTTCATGAGGGACGATGCTGGACCAACTGTCCAGAGTGAGAAGTTGGATAAACTCAGTAGAATAAATTAAACATGTCCTTTATGTGTGTCCTCAGCTATGCCCTGTCTTACCTTCAGGGGTTTCTTTGAAACTCAGGATGGCTCATGTGAGGCCTGCGATAGTTCCTGTCAGACTTGTGATGAGACCGAGTCACAGTGTCTGTCCTGCGCTGACAGCTTCTACTTAGAGGGTGGTGTATGTAGACTCAACTGTTCGCTTAGGATGTACCCAGCAGACGATGGTACCTGCAGACGCTGTCCTCCACACTGTGACATCTGCTCCGATGACAGGACATGTTTCAGTGAGTTAAGGAAAGAAAAATGCTCCAAACATGCATGACTTTAATTTCAGTTTCAATTAATTTTATTTTGGTCATTTCAAAGGAAAAAGAAAGAATACAATAAAACAGAATCTCAATTATAGTAACCAAAAAGGTGTAGACTGAAGCCTAGCTTTTTATGCCTACCCTATTTACTCAATCACATTACTTATCATGAAAAAATGACAAAGAAAGATAAAAGTAATATAGTAATAAAAATGGAAATAAGATAAAAGTTATAAAAATGTTAGTCATAATCGGAATATAGTGAACAACAACAAACATAATTCAGCAAGAGGAAAAATACACAGAACTTAAGACAGAACTATACAAAACTACCAGTAATCAGTAATAAATCGATGTTTGATATAGATCAAAACAGAAATTTGAATACTATCACTTGTGCAAGAATATTACATTTTCATTGACATCTATCAGACACACTAGACCACATATGGTCATTATGGTAGTATGACATCATCTCATTGACGTACATTTTTTGAATGATTTAACAGTGTTACATGCCCTGATTCCAGTGTCCAAGTTATTCCATAGTTCGACTCCTACTGCAGTATAACTCTGACTCCTAACATTTGTTCTTACTTTCTCTCTCATCAATTGTTCCCCCCCCCCCCCCCCCCAGATCATACTGAATTTCTTTGACCTGGAATAGCTTTTGAATACAGTCTGGAAATACTTTATTTTGTACTTTATAGATTACTTGTGCTGTTAGGAGTTTGACCAGATCTATAAATTTTAGTATTTTTAGTTTTATAAACAGGGCGAGTGTTGGTGCACGGTAATCAGAGTTTGTAATTACTCTTATTGCCCTCTTCTAACACATTAACATTTTATGCAGAGTGCACATTCCTCTACTTGATGCTGAATGGTGCGTGCAGAGCCAGTTGTCCTATGGAATATTATGAGGACATGGAGGAGGGTCGTTGCGGTCAGTGCCACCCCACCTGTGGCAGCTGTTCAGGACCGCTGGAAGATGACTGTGAGACCTGTTCATCCTTCAGCCCAAAACTCTACAAAGGTTCATGCCTCAAAGACTGCCCCACTGGTACTTACTATGAGATACCAGCTATGGAGTGTCAAGGTGAGCCACCAAACTTTAGAATTAGACTTTTTAAGTGACATTACTTGTATATTTAAAATATTTTATGATGAATTTTTTTTTTTAATATTTTCTGATTATGCTTTCTTTTATCCAACAAAAGGCAAATAGAAACACAGGAGCTCTAAGGGATGGACTTTTTTTTACATGAGAACATTTAAACCAGGATTTATGCTCTTATTAATAATTAATTTGCCACAGTTGAGGCTATATATGCAGACAAACTGTCTCTCTCCTTACAACGCTGATAAAGTCAGACAACTGGATGGAGAAAAGTGAACGGATTTAGGGATGTTCTGTATCAGCTTCTTTATTAATACCCGATATACTGATAAAGTGTATGTATATGTAGAGTAGCTGAAGAGTTTAATGTGCACGCTTTACAAAAAGTTGTTAAAAGAGGTACAACTCAATCCAGATTGTATTTTATTGCCTATATCGGCCGATAACATGGAGCATCCCTAAAGTGAACCCGTTCATGTAGCACCTGCATCCTTCAGATGTATCGTGTAGCATGCTCATGACTCTTGAACTCTAGAATAAAGGCAAAACTTGCACCTTTCAACATTTTTTTCTTCATAAAATCAACTGAATGTACTTTCATTCATAAAAAGGAATCAGATATGTTCAGCTTCCAAATGTAAAAAGGAAAAATGAGAGAGATGTCAGATTTTTTTAAGATAAAGAAAATTACATCCCTTGTGCAGAGGTTTTGAAGTATTTACATTCAAGATGTAATTCTGAAGCAGACGTTTTCAAAACTTCCGAGGTAAGTGAGGCATTTCATTTTCTGCAGAGTGCCACCAGACCTGTAAGAGTTGCATTGGCCCAGATCCAAACCAGTGCAGCCAGTGTGAGAAGGGCCTTGTTCTGGATCCAAACACGTTACTGTGTGGAGTGACTGGTGACTCAGGCTGCCCACTGAGAACCTACCTACACGATGACCAGTTCACCTGCATGAGCTGCCACCAGTCCTGTCACTCCTGTAGAGGCCCAGGCATTAATGAATGCCTGACCTGCGCCGTCCCCAGATTCTTAAACAGTGAGTACATTTCAAAGTCCAGACACAAATGTGGGATTACTCATATCATATAAAAGTGTATTTCTATGCACAAAATAGATGTTGATTATCTATTCAGATGCTTCATAATAGCCTTTCTCTGTACTGACTAATGGATTTTCAGCGAGCTGATGGGTACTGGCGGTCCAAGCTGAATGTGGCTCATGTGGTGCACTACCAGCACTGTTTAAAGTGGGGATGGTATGCTGCTGACCTCGGTTCGGAACGTTGTGGATCGGTGGGCGGAGTACTTTACAGACCTTCTAAATCCCACCGGCACATCTTCTAGCGAGTAAGCAGAGTCTGGGAACTTTGGGTTGGCTCCTTGATCGCAATGCCCCAGGGGTAAATGAGATCAGCCCAGAGTTCCTTAAGGCTCTGGATGTTGTAGGACTGTGGTGGTTGACACGACTCTGCAATATTGTGTGGACATTGAGAGCGGATGAAACTGGATAGTTAAACCTCAGATTCAGGAGGAGCAATTTGGTTTTCGTCCTGCAACACTGGACCAGCTCTTTACCCTCGTGCAATGTGCGTGGGAATTCGCTCAACCAATCTACATGTGTTTTGTGGACTTGGATTTCTGGGTCTTGTCCACGAGTGAAGAACAGATGGAGCGCGAGAACAATAGGCAGATTGATGCAGGTGTTTTACCAGTCTGTGGTGGTGAAGAAAGAGCTGAGCTGGAAGGTGAATTTTTTGATTTACGGGTTGATCTACATTCCTACTCTCAACTATGGTCACAGCGAGCTTTGGCTAGTGACCGAAAGAATGAGATCATGGATACAAGCGGCCAAAATGAGTTTTTTCCACAGGGTATCTGAGAAATAGGGTAAGAAGCTCAATCCAGGAGGGGCTTGGAGTAGATCCGCTGCTTCTCCACATTGAGAGGAGGCAGTTAAAATGGCTAAGGCAACTGGTTCGGATGCCTCCCAGGTTTTCCTAGCATGTCCAAATGGGAGGAAGCCTAATAGAAGACCCAGGACACAATGAAGAGAATATGTTTCTCGGTTGGCCTGGGAACACGCTGGGATTCCTCTGGAGGGGCTGGCCCAAGCAGCTGGGGAGAGGGAAGTCTAGGCCTCTCTGCTTAGGCTGCTGACTCCAAATAAGCAGAGGAAACTGGATGGTGTTATCTTAAATATTAAAAATGATTTCTTATTGTTAATGTTGATTGTGACTATTCTTTAGATGTTTAGTGGGCCGACAAAGGAAATTATCTCAGAAATTGAACATCCGCATCCTTTCTTTCCTAAATCAGTCTGAAAGGGTTACTGTTTGTTTCAGTCCTTCTGCTGCAGATATATTTGTGTTTTTGGTCATTTCCCTTTTAGATACCCAAACTGATGATTCTTCCTTCACTACAGAAAGGAGTAGACTTAGTGACTTAAAGGTGACCCTAAGGCTGCTGAAAGAGCTGAAATCAGCAACCCTCCACCACCGTGCTTTGTAGTTGGTGTTTTGTGCTCATGTGTTCTCATATGTTTTTATTATATCTCACAGACAGCACCTGCGAGACGGAATGTCCTGCTGGTTCATACGCCACAAGGCAGGAAGCTGATGGACAGCAGCTGGGATTCTGTTTGCCCTGTGATCACATCTGCTCCTCTTGCACCGGGCCATCGCCTCGGGACTGCCTCACGTGTTCTTCAGGATTTCTGCAACTTTTTCAGCTCTGTGTCATCCACTGCCCCACAGGGTAAAACACTCAACATCTGTAGTTTTACAAAATATACACTTTTTACTGAGATTTAACGTGTTTTGTTCTTTAAGGTATTACAAAAAGGGTTCTCATTGTGAGAAATGCGACGAGTCCTGTGAGCTGTGTACTGGACCGGGCCCCGAGTCCTGCAGAAGGTGTCCACTTCCTCTTCTAGAGCTTGACGGCACCAAGCTGTGTGTGGAGCGTTGTCCGCATCGCTTTTATCAGTTCAATGAAATCTGCAAACAGTGTCACGTCAGCTGTCAGACCTGCACAGGTATGGATGTAGGACTTACTTCTCATCGCATCTGTTTTCTTTCCTATTAGGAAACGGTCTGTGTTGGCAGTAATTTTGTGTTTGTCTTTCAGAAGTGTCATTGTTTGACAGTTACTTGGTAGTTCTGAAGAAATAGTCAGACAGTGAATGCATTTGTGTTTGTAGACTCTTCTCCCCAAAGCTGTGAGACGTGCGATCGCGGCAGCACTCTCAAAGACAAAGTCTGTTATCCACGTTGTGAGGAGGGACGATACTTTTCTGAAGAGGTGTGAAATAAGCTCAGTGTCAAAAAAATAAAACTTTTTGTTTTTGCTCCCTAAAACATGACAATATGATTCATATTGAATATTTAGCACATTATTTCCTAACTTACAGATAAAAGTCACGTTTTTCTTAATGATCACTGACGTGATCTTGATCTGCTGTTGGGTGCAAGCCTTTGTTCACACAGGAACTTCATTCATGCACAGTGTAATAAAGTTTATTTACAGGAAATCTGCGAGTCCTGTGACAGCTCCTGCAGGCACTGCACTGGCCCCAGACCTGACCAGTGTCTGCTCTGTCACAACGACTTTGCTCTTCATGCCGTTGAGAACAGATGCACCCGCTGCTGTCAGGCTGCAGCAAATCACACCAACTGCTGTGTTTGTGACAGTGGCTCAGGTATAGATACTGTATTAAAAAAATAAATCAGCTGATTTGTTGACAAGAGCAAACTACAAAATCCCCCTTTTATTTTTTTTTATTCAGCTCTGTGTGTTGAGGCACCACAGCCCAGGTTTGAAGAAGCAACGGAGCGAGACGTTATCGTGTCCTCTAAAGCTCTGAAGCACACCTCAGCTGCCTTACCAGTCGGCCTGCTGCTGGCGGCCGGGTTGGGGCTGGCTGTGTTTGCCTTGGCGAAGGCTCACGCCAAGAGGAGGCTATGCTGGAACCAGAGCTACGAGAGACTGAGCGGCAGCGGGAGCATCAACATGCCCCACGGCGTGCCCGAGCCAGACAGCGGCGACGAGGTGGACGTGGTGTACACCACCAAGGGTGGATCAGTATACAGACGCTACAGCTTCATCCATGAGAAGGAAGCAGACCCAAGCAGGGATGAAAACACTTGTCTCAGTCAGTCTTAGATGGATTCATGCCAGATTGTGCTGTAATAAAACATATTTTTGATGCTCCGTCAGAAAAAGTAGGTAGACCATAGAGGTGTGGGTAGCAATATATGAATGAGTTGTATATTTTTATTCCACAAAGTGCCTGTGACTGTAGGAAGCACCCAGTTAGACAATGATGGACAAACTGAAAAATTACTCATGTCTGTGTAAATGTATGTAATTTTATTTCAAACCCATCATGAAAACTCATCTGTGAATCTTTGTATTAGGTCAGCGAGTCAGGGTTGCATGATTTGTTGTAAATATGAATGTAAAGGAAATAAAAGATTTTGCCACTGATGTTAGAATTAAAACACGCCCCTCCCATTTTTCTTTCACCACCATGTTTGATCAGACTGACACACCTCCACAGACAAGTGAATCATTTTCCTCTAAACGGTTATGAGCTGCTGCCTCCTTCTCAAATTGCAGCTGGCCTTACCTGCTGCGGCATGAAATTTACTCGCACACATTTCCTGGGGAAGCTGATGTTGGTGCTTTGGCCTCTCGTCTTCATGAGTACAATCCTGGGTTTTGATTTTTGGGGAAATTTTCCCAAGCAGCATCCCTCTGATCTGCAGATCCCAAAGCAGCTTTCCGTAGACCTGCCTGGCTGTTTAGCTGTCTTCAGTGGAAATACTGAGGACAAAAAAATAGAGTTGGAAGCCCTTTTGTCATCTAGGAGAAGGCGGAGTGTTGTTACGGAGGACTTCTACATGAACGCCACTAAGGATTGTTCATCCTACATCAAGAAACAAGGATTCATCTCTGTGCCTCTTAGTGAAGAGGAAAAGAGTTTTCCTATTGCATTCTCCGTGGTGATCCATGAGAAGATCGAGATATTTGAACGACTCCTCCGTGCCATTTACGCTCCTCAGAACATCTACTGCGTCCATGTGGACCAGAAATCCCCTC